GGGCTCTTGAATATCTGTGACAATTTGTTAAGTAGCAGCACTTGGAACCAGCTTATGAATGTGGGTTCTAAAAAGAAATCCTAAAAATGGCTAGTTTTACTTACAAACCCCACAATTCTCCACTCATTGCTGCAAATTTTAGTTATGTACTTAGTTTGAGGCAGAGACTGCATGCGTCTCTGTATCTCCCCCATGCAGTAGGCCCTTTAATACTTGGTGGTTCAGATGCAGCATCAAATCAATTATACATTTTGTCAGAGAAAGGATTATACTTAGCAGGGAGATCAAGTGCATACTTCTTTCCTATCTGTTCCCCAATATGCCTCAACTGGTCTTATAACTTTTTTTTTTGGTAATTTTTGTAAAACAAGGAGGACCATGACAAGGAGCTAATGATAAAAAGATGGCAAGAATTACCTGCCTAGTATAATGGTTGTCTACATGAGTACATTCTGTTAACTTACGTATTGGAAAAATAATGTTATTTTATGAAATTATTGAATTTTATAAAAATACTTTACGTGCATAAAAGATGTCAGTTTTATTTTTAATTTTGTTACATTTCCGCTTGTATCTACAGCAGTAAAGCATTATATAGTTTATGCAATGTTTACTTGTCTATTGAGTTTTTAAAGATTTAACATTAACAATTAAAATAGTTTTACTATTAAAAAAAAAAGAATTACCTGCCTAACAGATAAATCACAACAAAATATAGAGCAGTCTCAGATTTTACAAACTGGTTACAATGTATCTGCAAGGTAATCTGTGTTCTCTGGAAGGAAAGGGCTCTACATTTTCAAATCGACAGGTGTCCCCTCTAACAACACTGCATCCAAAAACAGAATCCTGCCAATGGGAGGATGCAGCATCTTCCTTATTCTGTAAAGATAGGAATGACAACCTATCAATGTGAGAGTGTAGCTTACATTGTCTCTATAAAGACACAAAATGCACAACGGGTGACAAAAACTTGGCTACAAAAAAAATGTACTAGGCTTGGGGTCAAAAGAGGACAGATTTCCAAACCTTGATCCAGTGATATGTTTAAAACGATAGTTGAAACCTTCACAATGCAGGCATGTCTGGCTCTGATTTTGCAACCAACAGAGAATGAGCTAGAAACATTGGTTTACATGCCCACATACTGCTATAGAACACTAGTTACATACTGAGAGGCATCAGAAAGGAGAAGAACCAACTCATGCTCTAGGAGCCTACAAGCTAAGTGTTTTATTATAAGAGAATGTTTAGAGTTTATAGTTTGAGGAAAACAGTAAGCAAGAATGAACCAAATCAACTCAGTCTTCTTACAACTCTAGTATCATCATCCAGTGAAAGTTTTCAGAAATTTCCAAAAAGTAGCTAGAATTCAAGTATTAGGGATAATTATGGATTTTAATAACCACATAGATGCCTGATGGGCAGGGCCTCTTCTCATGCTTTGGACAAGCTAAATGCTATTGTCAGTAGGATAACCCGAAGCTGGTGGACCATGGGAGGAAGAACATATGAGGGATCTTAGAGTGCCCACTTACCTGCCCAAGTCACCTGGCTTGGTCATGCACAAAGGACACACCTCTTTCCCAAATGCAAACTGCCTTAAGGTATACCACCTTCTCTTATTAAAGGACGAAGCACAGAAAAATCTGAAGCAGAAGATCTCTAAAACAACTTGCTATCATTCCATTACCCCTCCCACTTGTCAACTGTCTTACTGAGACTGAAGGATAGGATAAGAAAGCTAGAGTAATGGGAAAGGACATGATTACATTAAAATAAAAGGAGAAATAAAGCAAAGGTATACAAATTATTTATGAAAAGTAATTTAAAAAATATTGCCATTGTTTTCATGTGCAATAAATGTATTCTTGAAATTTTCTGGAAAAGGAATCATTTTAAATGCACCTGAGAGACTGGCAATTTTAATATATGCTATTAGGTATATAACATTATCTGTAAAGTACAGAACCGTTTCATAAAATAATTTATTTCAAAGTCACCTTCTATAATCACGGCATATGCAAAATCCTTATTGAGTCCACTTAAACAGATCCATAGATACAGAGAAATAAGTAAACAGGAGTTGAGACTGCAGAGCTGGTAAAGAGAATGTGGAGGAGAAGGTACAGAAGTCAAGCACTGCCACAGATGATCTGGTTTATTGGTGTGAGCCTCAGGACAGCTACTGACATGTGTCTTCTCTGGAGTCTAGTGTGCGCTACCTCCTCCACCCAAACAAAAACTGCTTTACTTTTCCTTGTAGCCAGCCCTGCCAGTTCTAAGCCTGTCCTCTCGTCTCTCTTCCTCAGTGCTTACAGGTTTGAAGCACCTCTCACAAAGGTGGGGAAGATGGCCCAGAGCTGATGTGGATCTCAGCCCAGGTGTGTAGGTGTGCCAGAAACCCTTGCAGCCCCCAGGGTGGAGAGATGAAAAACCAGCCCTGGCCTTGGAACACACCTATCTGGCAAGGTGAAGAGGAGGGAAGCCTGGCAAAGGGCATAACAAAAACCCAACAGCCCTGAGAAAGCACACCTGTGCTCACCATGACTAGAAAACCACCCTGCATTTCCCAGGGGAAAAGAGAGTAGAAAAGGGAAAATAGGGCTATATTGTCCAGCACTGCAGGCCTACACTCACTGCTTCCATGTAGAAAAAGGAAGTCTTAGCTAATAAATGGTACCTTGAATAGAGAGGACTTCATTTTCTTTAATTTTGTTGTTTAGGTATTTTTCCTCCTAAGCTCTGTCACTTTGTCATGAGGGAAAGGCGGGTACTTAGGGGCAGGTTGAGCTAACCTCACAAAGACAGGCTTAAAGACGGCTTGCTCAAGTCAGGTCCCAAGATGAGGGGTTGTCTTAGGGACTTCACTGACCAAAAACCCAGGTCTAGGTAAAAGGAAATTGCACTGCAAAATTTTAGGCCTTTGCTTAGTTTCATCAGCACAGGCTCTACCAGCATTGAGACAGTCCTTCAACGGTAACTTTCCAGATGCTTCTGGGGGCTTTGGAGAGAGTTACAAAAAGAAGGGAAAAAAAACAAGTACTAGAGGTCGTGAAGCCATAGAGAAATTTGTTGCTGAACAGCATGGTCACCAGATGTGTGGAAAGTTTTCCAATAGTGCAATTAAAGACCAAGCATTCTCATCATCGGCTTGAATTTATGTCAAAAAGACAACTACCCGTACCAACCCCTTTTGGAATGGGTAAAATCTTTGATCCTTAACAAACTGAGAGAGAAAATAAAGTTGTACATTTTATTTATTTGCTAGAAACTATGACAGATTCAACCGCAACGGAAATTGAATGATCTAAAGTACTTCAGTGTCAATTGTTCCACTGAACCAATATTTTCCCATGCATACAGCACTTATTAATCTCAACAGTATTGCTTGAAGGTTACTCCTCCAAGCCCTTAATTATTTTCACAATCGATGATGATTTTCTCCATTCCCAATTGAACTGCCTTCTTGAATTTCCAGTGTTATGTTTTCCCAAAGACTATTCCCAGGTTTTATGCCCTATGATTCTTGCTGTAATGATGAATTGTTGGCCATGGTTTGTCTTTTAACTTCATATTTATATAACTTTATGTCATAACTTATAGCAAACACATATTTTAACATACAGGTAAAAAAATTATTTGCATACTCATAAAAACCAGAGGAAGAAAAGTTTGTTTTGTAGGATTTGGAAAGGCCAGTTTGGGCTTGTATTGCAAGCTGAAGTGTAAACATTTTTGAGTTCCCCTAAGATGTCTGGGCCAATGTAATAGTCTTCTTTGTTCAGGGCAATGACTTCTAATCTCAGACTTGTGACACCCCTGGGTATCTCCAGGTATCTCCAGAGGTGTTGTAAAACTCCCTCCACAAAATGCCAAGTAAAATATTTAAATTAAAAATATGTCACAGATGTTTGGAGGCAAGGGAGGGTGTCCTGAAATAAAAAAGAACAGTCATGGATATTACAAAAACTTGATCCTTGGTCAATTATATTTTAGTCTAAATCAATGACGAATAGATAAAATAATCAAAGGAAATTAAGCAAGATGAGATAGTCTGTATGTGTGATTTTGTGGTTGGGGGTGATAGGGAAGGAGCTGGTTACTTGCAACACTATTTCTGTGGAAAACTCTTTGATCTCTTTATTTATTTACTAATAACTGATTAGAGCTGATCAGCAATTGAAAACCCAGTTCATAGCTCTTCTCTACTTTCTTGCACTAAGATATTGGTGGCTTAAAGCTGACTTAGAGGATTCAGTATTAGTTTCTTTAAAACAAACAAACAAATTGACAACAAATAAGAACCACAGACACTGGCAGCTAGGCAGGGTAAGCTTAGCATAATTTTGTCAGTTTTCCCCTGAGCTTCTGACTTAAATTGTTATTTTGACATTATATGGGGGGCGGGGGGGAGCGTGTTATACATCGCTGCTCTCAATATTCAATTCTTAACTTTCTTGGTCACTACTTGGTAACTAAAAAACCTTTGTGGGCTTGCCATTGGGAAGCTGACCTACAGCCATTATATTTTACAATAGCTTCCAAATTTCCAATAAAATATGCTTCCTGATGGGTTATTGCCCTCAGGCTTCACAGCTCTCTTTATTCAGAACACCCACTTCAGTCACTTGATAAATCTAAACATGGATTTCCATAAAGAAGAGTCACACACATATGCACTCAAAAAAGATATCACTAAAAAAAGTACACATTTTTTCATTAGACAGGCTTACCCTTTTCTCTAGAGAACTTAACTTCTCTGTTTATTTTTTATTTTTCACATCATGCCTATTTAAATTTAGGTCCACATTTTACATTAAGCCCTAGAATTCCAGTAAGAAATTCTTAATTTTCATTTAATCCTTTATCTACTCTGTTAATTGCTTGCCAAGACCAAGCAAAGTTCCTTTAAACTAGGTCGTTTGCATCCCACTTCCAAAGTTATCTAAAGAATCAGACACCTGAAAGGTATAAGAAAAAGAAGAAAGTATTCTTGCCTTATTTGTAGCAGTAGCACTGGATCCAGGGACCACGGGCACATTCGTCACTTGAACTGAAAGATAATTATTATCTATGAGTGGCCAAGCCCCTTCCACTTTGCACGTCTGGAAATGATCCTTGAAAGTTCTAAGGTGAGGATCTCCGAACAAGCCACAAAAAAGGTAATTGGGAGGATTCTGGTCCCCTCCCCTGTGTTCTCTGGCTCCTGTGTGGCTGTGATAGTTACAAGGGTCATGGGTCACTTCAGGGTTGGTAGAGGATGTGGGCCCATCTTTGGAACAGTTCCTCTGGCTCATAAGGTCACTGATACCCAACACAGCAGAATGGTATACCAGGTTGCCACGGCAGGCTTTTGAAGTTCGCTGGGTGCAGCCAGCATAGGCACGCAGGGCCTTGCAAAACTCAGAGTCAAAGCCATCAATGGCAGAGTTCAGGTGTGAAGTCAGGGACACAAAGTCTGTGGTACATTTCTGGATTCGACATTGGGCCGGCTGTTGGCAGTCACCTATGGGAAAGAAGATAAGACCACACATTTTTTAAATGCTTCATAACTTCCTGGGCTACATGAGAAAATGACATTCTCCTCTGGGAACTGTTTGTTCTATTTCATATACTCCTATTTTAAGAATGCCTTCAGAAATAGGATTGCATTGTGCTTCTCTGATTCCTACAAATTAAGCCACTGGGAGAAAAATTGCATGCAGTTAGTTGACTTAAAACTTTAAAGCATGGGCCATTGTAGGTGAACATAAGTCTAGTCCAGTGTTCTTAGGTTAAAATTACAAGGGAATGGTCAATACATATTTTATCAACTTTGCTCTTGTTTATAGATTTTGAGAAAGAGTCCTCTTCTCTAAGGACAAGAAAAAGATGTGAACTCTGATTTTGGAAACTGCATAAGGAATTTGCTTTGGAAAGCATTGTCTATGCAAAAAACCATGATAAAAGCTTCCACGCCTCAGGTATAATTGGTTAAAACACTTTTACCTGATTCTAGTATGGATACAATGCAAGAATATCAAGAAAAAATCCAGGCACTAAGTTATTCTGCATTTCCTGACAGAAAATTTACCAACAAATTGTATATAAACTAATAATTAATCTCCTGGTTTCTACAAAGCGTAGATGTTCTTTTAAAAAAATAAAGTGATTCATCTGACCAAGTTATATATTCACTTCTCTCAACATCCATCACCCTAAGATTCCAGCTCCCACACAGTTCATCAGTAAAAGTACACTAAATTAAAAAAGATGTAACATTGAAATCATGTTGCAGAAACAGGTAATTCCATTTTTTTTTCCCCAGAAACACAACAGGACACAGACATCTTTGGGTATATAAAAAGGACTTTTTTCTTTAAATCAACAATTCATATAAACTTAATGACTGAAGCAAAGCTCAAATGAAGTAATGAAAAACCAAGTATTACTGCCCTCGTATTTAAAATTAAGCCAATTTTTACATGATGTTTAGCCATTAGCTTCTCACATAAAAATTTATAAAACCTCTCAAGCACCCCCTCTCCTCCCCCCCAAAAAAACACACACAAGAATTGTCAACACTAGGTCAGGAATGTGTGCCAATCAGTTTAATATTCTGTTCTATAAAGTAGAGACACTAGAATTAGTGAAAAGAAAAATCCTTTTCTTTTTCATCCACCTCAAATTTTATAGACATGAACTGGAAGATATATTTGTGTTACTTAAACATTCTTTATAGGTCTGTAAACTATGGAGGAAGTCTCAATCTCTTCAAGTCTTAGGTTCCTCATCTGAAAAATGAGGAGGTTGTTCTAAAATGAACTTTGTAACCTTTTTTATGCATAAAATACCTTATAATTCCTATTCTAGGTGGGGAAAAAAATCAGCAGAGTATTATTAAATATGTAATAACTTAAAGATGTGGGTATAACAACCTCTAGGATAATATCAAGATTTAGAACTCCTGATAAAGACTTAAAACTAAACCTATTAAAAAGGTTTTTAGGTAAACATAATTAAATATATATTTTAATCTTTTCAGTGGCAAATTGCTTTTAAATCTGAATTAAGAAGCCTGTAATCTCTGTTTCTGGCTTCAATTGGGGAGAAAAAGGTAGGAGATGACCACCTTTCAAGATACTTCCCCCATTTTTCCATTTCAAGGACCAAAATGGGAAAAATGTAGTCTAGATTGGACATTCACTTAAACATGAGAAAAGGAGAAGATTAAATTAATCACAAAAACACTTTCATGTTTGGCCTATTTGGTTTTTGCACATTTCAAAGTTGACAAAAGCAGCTCCGATATTTATAGAGTTCCTCTCTCCAAAGTAGATATATCATTTCAAGTCTTTTTACTCAAAAAAGCAAAAGCAAAAACAAAACAAAATCAAACAAAAAAACCCCAAAAGTCATTAAAGCCATTTTACAGATGAGAAAATCAAGGCAAAGGATTTTAAGGCCTTGTCCTGGCTGGTTCATACACAGCTAGTAGTATGAAGCCTTTTCTCCAATTCCATTTTCCTTCCTGCTGTCTCCCCCAATTCCTGACTCCCACAATGGTACTTGGTAGCTTTAAAAAAGACTTAAGTAACTGTTGTATCTATTTTTTCTTTTCCGTTTTAAGTCAGAGTTACAGCAAAGAGAAAGCAAGAAAATAAAAACTAGGCCAGGATCACTCAGTAATGAACAGTCTTTAGACTACAAATAAATGACAGCACAAGAACTTTCCGCTAAACTTGCAGTGGCTATTTGTTCTTTTTATGGTCTATAAAATCTATCTGAGCGTACATATACTTATAATTATTTCAAATAGTCATAAAATATTGAAAGTAAGAACAGCATGTAAATGCAGATGCAACTGTTCAGAAGAGAAGCAGAATTTAGATTTCAGCTCCTGTCCTTTCCTTCCTCCTTCCCTTTTTTATAGCAGATAAGTGGTGATTCTTTAGAGAAAACTCACATCAAACAGAGCTCCTTGGGTTATTTTGTTTTAGATGAGGTTTCTAACAGCCTTTTTGAATAGAGATGCTGGGAGGGAGGAGGGCTAACTAGAGACAAAGTGCTTTTGGGTCAGCAGTTTCAGCCCCATCGCAGGCTCCTGTATAATGACTAATTTGCGGCATACACCCAGAAATATTCAGGCTTCACGAATTTCTAATGACAATGAACACTTTGCTTGTTACAAATGGTAAAGTAAGCCTCCTGTCAAAATGCCAAAACAATGCGGAGCAGAAATAATCTCAAGGATGTAGCCAAGAAGGCCATGAAGTGTATGAGTAAGCAAGTAACTCCCATTTGGATCTCCATTCAGGAACTACATAGGTTTGCTTAAGAGAAGAAAAGTAAATGAAAGTACTCTTTTCATTTCTCATGAGCAGGATTCAAAATCTGCAGTTACAGATCTCTATTTTTCGAGTCAGATCATCTGTAATAGGTGTGACAGTATTTTCATTCCACTTAATGAAAGTGCTAAAGGATTTTCAGATCTAGGGCTCTTGATAATGATTCAGACAAAAAGACTTCTCCACTCAAAGTCAGTTTCCTCAAGGCCAGGACTGCACGTGTGAATTTGCAGCACAATCACCAGTTTATAATAAAAGAAACAAGATATGCTGAAGCTGAATTAAGTGAAATGTGAAACCATATGGGGTGCTGAGGCAAATTATATAGATCCAGGCAAAAAACATATGGTAGCCCATCTACAAAGAGCACTCTGCTAGGCTCCCTGCTTTGAGAAACAACCCCTGCATTTCAACAGCACTACTCTTCAAAGACATCTCCCAAAAGGAGGCCTCGTTTCTATAACCAGATTAATTGCTCCATTCCAACATTCTGTCCACAGAAATCACTCATCACAGCAACTTTGGCTATAATCTAATGGTGACTTTAGTGACGACATACTAAGATACTGAGAGGAGGTTCACATTCCAAGTTTTTGAACTAAGTAAGGATCTTTAATTTTCTAAAACTTCAAACTAACTTCTTAAGTCTTTCATGGGCCAGCAAAGAAATCTTCGAGGACCACATTCCAATTCTGTCATAAGAACCTATGGCAACTAAGAGAAACAATATCCAAGCAGTCAAGAGGGACACAGTCCCATCTATCACTTCAATTCTCATTTCAAGAAACCTAAACTTTGACATTGTGGACACATATCTTTCACAAAAAATACTTCTGAATATATCTGACACGTCATGAAAAATCTTCCATATAACTGTAAGCAGATTGGTATTATTTTCTAAGGTTCTAAAGTCATTAATTTAATGCCTTAATAGTTCTAAAACTTGCCATTACACTCTTTGTTAAGACTTCAATTTATGTTTTCCCAAGTGACAGTGTTAAAATGCAGATGTTACATCACAATGCAGTTACACAAAGTAAATTAAGCTGTCTCTTCAAATGCCATATTTCCCCCCCATTATTTAAAAGACCTCCCAGATTTTTAACATGGGCTGGTACAACTTAATAAATACAAATTAGTCCCCACATTTGGGTAGCATTAAAGTTCAGGATTCTCCAAATCAGAACATTGTGACTGTTGCCATACAAACCCAGGACAAAAAGATCTTGCAGAAAAAATTATCTGACGCTCTAGTTGTTCTCAAACTAAAAGATGATTTATCTTTCAATTTGGTATTTAAAAATTCTTTGTCTAGACAAACTCCTATAAGTGGTCTTACTTGTAAAGAGCGTCCTAGAAACCCCCAGCTTTACTGAGATAATATAATTGACACTTAACATTATGTTGATGAAACGAAAAAGAAAAACAGTGTCACAGGCAGGCGTCCTTCGCTAAGAACAGACTCCTCACTGCTGCTTCCATAGGGGAAGCGCCGACCTCCAGTAAGGAGCAGATCTGTCAACTCCTCCTGGAACACGCGGCTAGCCACAAAGCACGAGTTTCTCCAAAGAAGTTGTAAGCCGAATTAAAAGCGGCTTTCTTAAATACTAAAGAAATCCCTGCTTAAAGAAGTTTAAGTTATTTCGAGATTAACCTCCAAGTTTACAAACTCCCGAAAATCTTTCCATCTGGTGCGATTTCTTCGCCTCGCCACCCCCGCCCCAACTCCAGAGCAGCAGCACAAGGCTCCTTGTCTCCCCTCCGAGGCGGCGGCGGAAACCTGATCCCAGCCTGACTTTCGGTAAACACCAATGCAGAGAGCAATAAAGCATCCGGAACATTTGTCTCGGGCACGCAGCCCCCACCGCCTGCGCCTGCTAAATCTTTGATAAGCGGCTGTTGGAAGGGAGATTTATCAACGGTCCTAGCCGAAGGCGGGGAAGGCCGGAGGGAGGGAAGAGGCCTCTCCTCTGCGCCCTTGGGCGCGCCGCACCGTCGGCGGGTGTGTTCCTGCAGCCGCGCCGCGAGCTGGGCTAAGGTGCGCGTCGGGGACTTGCGAGGCCTTTCCCGTTGCGACATGCCGCCCTTCCGCCCCAGCAAGCGCCTTCAGAGCCCGGGGTGTTTGGGAACAAAGCACTTGGCCCTGGGGCTGGCTCCCTCGCGCGCGCGCCTCGTACCTGCGTGGAGCAGCCCAAGGCTGAGCAGCAGCAGCAGCAGCAGCGCCAGGGGCGGCGGGCAGAGCCGGGGACCGCGGCGCTGCTCAGCCCCGGCGGCGACGGCGGCGGAGGCGGCGGCAGCGCAGGAAGGTGCTGCTCTCAAGCCCATGCCCGTCCATGCAGGTCTCGTGGGCTC